AATTCGCCAAGCCTTCATCACTTCCTAAATGAGTTATTTTGTAGAATATATATATATATATATAGTTAATAATTAATTAATGACGTTAATTTTAATTAAAGATTTTATTTTATAGTTCGATTATTGCAAAATTTGCTACTTAAGTTTAATTCCAAACAGAATAATTACCAAACAATTACTGTACAGAGAATTACTTGAATGGGATTTCTCTCGACGGTAATGCCTCATTAGAATTCATTTGGATTTGCCTGTTAGAATGTCAACCTCTTAATGAAGTGATTGCAAGAATTCTTTAATTAACTGAGCCACAGTCGCCCCGGAAGTAATCGTTTTGCTTACGTATGCTTGACCTCATACGTAAGTGTAGCAAACGCAGGTGACTATATATGGTCAACATTTGTGTAATCTCCATCACTTATACTTGTTTTCTTGTCGGAATTCCTTAAATTTATAATTATTTTATTCTAAAATGAAGCATAAATTGATAAGATAAGGTAAGAATTATAGCTAAGTGCATTAATATATAGCCTATATATTAAGATGCTTCGAGTCGATGGCTTCTTATGCGCGTTAGAAATTAAGAAATTTTGCTTTTAATTTATGAATATTTTTAATTTATTTTCTTTAAATAATTTAAATTGAATTTACTTTTATTTATTCGTTTGAAAGTTTTCGATATTTTTGCTCTTTAATCGTGTCGAAAGTTATGATTTTTGTTAATCATCTTGAAAATTTTCCATATTTTTCTTTATAAATCCACTTGAAATTTCGATTTAATTTATTTTTAATCTATTTTAAATGTTTTTTTTTAATTCCTCCCTTTTTTTTCCTGTTAATTATACAACTTTTTAAAGAAAATTTTTATCATAAAATTAGAATTTTTCTTTATAAAATGTATTTTAAACAAGAATTTTACTTAAAATATAATATAAACTTAACATTTTCTCTACTAAAATATCATATTTAGTGAAAAAAATTTATATATATAGGCCTATATTGAATATTGAATGGTGATAGATTTAACAAGCAATTTATCAGATTGTTTTCAATTAAATTCAGTCAATTTAGTAAATTAGTAAAATAAATTAATGACTTGTCATCATCATCATCAATTTATTTTATGTTATTTACGTCGCGATACATTTATCAATGGTTCAACAATAGGTGTATCAGGTACCTACTGTACACGGAAAATATGCGATAATTTTGTAAGAATTATATTAAAAATTACAAATTTTTTATGTCAAATTAATCATTTATATATTATATAATCTACTTGTTGTAAAAATAATTAATTTGCTTCACGGAAATTTAAGATTTAGATGCTTCAAATTACATATGTTTGAGATGTAATGGTGATTGACAAGGAGTGTTTATCATCATTTATCCTTGATAAACCTGTCAAAAATATAAGATACGAAAATAATATCTAAATTAATGCTTATTTAAATAATAACGTGACTCCTGCAGACAATTTCTATACATTTTTATCATTTTATTTTAACTCAATATAGATCTTTATGACAGTTATAAATTTATTTTATGCCTTTTGAAAAATCTGGTATATTTTTTTATACGTTTGGAAAATGTCCGTATTTACGAGAATTGAAAATATTTCGTGATCCCATGCCACGTAGACGGATATCTCGAGAGGGATACTTTACCATAGAATAATTTACTTGGACTTATTCTTTGTGGTCCTATCTCAGTGACGTATGATAAATAAGTCATGACGTCAGTAGAGTAAATCCACAACAAACGACATACTTTATTTTATTTTATTTTTTACTTTTTTATTTTGATGTACGAATAATTCAGTATGATATTATATGTCATGAAAACTCTCTCTAACCTTTACCAAACGGATTCTTGTATGGATATTTTGCTACTGTTCGAAGAAGAAATAAAATTTCATTCAATTTTTATATAAAACTTTTAATATATTTTGCTATTTTTATTTTAAAAAATTAAATTAAAATTTCCTAANATAAAAAAATATGCTGAATCCGCATCATGTTTTTTTTATTACACGGTCTAATGAAACTTTCGAAAAAATTTCTGTAATTCGAATACTTTTTTTGACATTAAATACTATTTTTTTTTATCGAAGTTTTTCACGCAGATTTATATCTTAAATTATTCGCGCTTACTTGCACGTGTAGTATTCACCTTTGAACTTTTAGATTTTTTTTTTTTTTTTTTAACTTTCCCAGCTGTTATGTGCCCCAAGATTTTTACATTTTTTTGGACTCAGTGGACGTTGAAATCTCGAATTGCAAAAATTTTGGGGTTTTTTTTTTTCTGTATGTAAGGGTGTGTATGTGTGTGGGAGGCACGATTTTGTTCTCCCACTTTTGAAGCTTAATAACTCCTGTGCCTTTTGTCTAAAATGTTTGAAATTTTGCAGGGTGGTTCGTGTATTAGAGGGATTGATGCTGTTAAATTTTGGTGGTTAAAGGTCGAGGGGTTAGGAAGATACAAGGGGTCGGACTTCATATAGATTTTATTTGTTATTAACATTTGCAAGTTATTTTTAAAGATTTTAACTCCTTTTCCTTTTTTTTTTATTGATTTAGGTTCCTAATGAAAGCTTCGAAATTTGGATAAAATGAATATTCTTGTTAAATCTTGATGAAGAGAGATAAGAATTCGCCAAGATGACCATGAAATGGGAAAAATTATCACCTGCTGAATTTCAACAATTGCAAGATTATATACAGTGTGAGTGCTTTAAATTAATTAAATAAGTGTTATAATTTTTTTTTTAAATTAGTTAAATTTGCTACTTAAGATGTATGAAAGGAGGATCCTCCAACCTGAGCATCTGTGTGTTGTGTGAAAGGAATCAGAAATTGTTTAAAAAATCTAAGAAATTTTTGTGATAAAATATAAAGTACACAACCTTGAATTCAACATTAACTTTCAACACGAGAAGAATTTCATCTCGAGTTAAATGTAGACCTCATTGATCTGTTGACAATCTGCCGTTCTGAAGCCATGCCCAGGAGTGACTTTGGCAATAGGAAAAAAGATTTATCCAGGAATAATAAAGTTGCCCTTCTACTAAATTCATTTTACTTTTATTTTTACTTTTTTGATAAATATAAAAATACTTCGACTTTATTTTTAAAGTATTAAAATTCTAGTTACTTCAATAGAGATAGATTCGTGATTTTTTAAAGATTATTTTTGATCTTGAACACGTTTCTAAGACTTGAAAGTTACAGAAATTTGACTTGAACATCATTCTCTTAGATATGTAGTAATTATAGAGTTGATTATATTTAAATTAATTATATCTATATGACCTCAGATACGCTTAAAATACACCTGTCAATTATATAACTAATGCCTTCGCTTTGGGGCCTCAAACATGCTTAAATAGGGGAGACCGGGGCAACTTCGGCATGCGGGGCAAGTTTGTCAAGCGCTTTTTTTTAAAAACAAATTAAAAGGAGACTTTGGTTATAGGTTAGGCAGTTGAGTTTTATTGGTGGCTTGTTGAGTGTAGTGTTTTTATTGTTCTCCAACAAGCGTAGTTGAATTATCAAGCAAATTTTCATTTTCGTTCAATTCCATATAATATTTTTTTTCCATTTATATTGAATTGGCAGGTTTTGTTATAATTCCATGATAACGAAAGTTACTTTTCCTGTTAGAAGGATGTAACTTCAACTTATTCACGTGGCCAGATCGTGGCTTGGCATTCTGTTCTCAGGGTTGTACTTAATGTTTCGAAATCATGACTAGCGGGGTAAGATCGGCAACATAAAGCCACATTAGAAGCAAAGGATAAAAATCAAACAGATGATAAATGAAAACATGTTTGCATTTGTTATTCATGTATATATGTCTTTGAACTTGCATTTCGTTGTAATAATATTAAATGGGTGTTGGATTTGTATTTCTTTGTTTTAATAGTGAATTCCAACTTATACATTGTTAATAACATAATTTTATATACGTGCCTATCTTGCCCCATTACTGTTGCCCCTATACCAGGGGCAACTTTAATAAAAATAATTAAAATAATTACAACTTTACAAAAAGAGAGAAGTTGCCGATCTTGCCCCTATACCCGGGGCAACTTCGTCAATTTCTCTCTTCTTGTAAAGTTGTAATTATTTTAATTATTTTTATTTCCAAACTGATTTTAACCAGTTCTATAGTAAGGTAACATTCCAATAGACAATATGCAAAGCTTTTTTTTCAGTTTACAGCAGTATTTATTACACAAAATTTAAGTAAAGCTTAACATGCCGATCTTGCCCCGGTCTCCCCTATATATTTATAAATATATGATTTTGAGGTAGAACAGGCCCATTTAGTCATTTCTTTTTGAACAAATGAAAAGCATAGATTGTTAGAAGTCTTAAAGACTTTATTACTTTTTAATTTTGTAGGGATAGGAACCATTAAAAGCTCTTAACTTTTCTTGGTCCTTCGACGGTCCTGCTTGATCCAGGACTTAGAATCAGGATCTTTTAGATGTCAAAACAGGCCCCTAACTTTACTAATTTAAGCCTCGAGTGTATAAAATAAATTAAACTAAACAGAATTGAATGTTTATGAGACCTCTTCGAAAGGAGCCATTCTTCTGTGATAAGGCCTGCTTGTAATCCTACATCTTAAACAATATTAAATATTATATTATATGCTCTTTACATTAATAAACTTGCATTAAAATGGGCCTCGCAATCAGGATCTTTTAGATGTCAAAACAGGCCCCTAACTTTACTAATTTAAGCCTCGAGTGTATAAAATAAATTAAACTAAACAGAATTGAATGTTTATGAGACCTCTTCGAAAGGAGCCATTCTTCTGTGATAAGGCCTGCTTGTAATCCTACATCTTAAACAATATTAAATATTATATTATATGCTCTTTACATTAATAAACTTGCATTAAAATGGGCCTCGCAATAAATTTAAACCGTCACTACTTTGAATTAGGCCCTATTACAAATTTATCAATTTTCTAATTTAAATTTTCTTTTTATTATTTTATAATTAAACGCATTCAATCGTAATTTTTCTTTTAAATTATTATTAATTTTTAAATTTTTCTCGTTTAGATTCGTCTAAGAAATTAAGCGATGTTTTAGACGAATTTAAAGAAAATTCTACTTTCTCCAAATATAATCCTGAAGGAGTAAGTAAATTATTATTTTTATTTATTAATTTTTTAAAATATTTTAAATTAATTTTAATCTTTTAAAATGATAAAAGTTAGAACAAAATAAAGTTTTAATACAGTTAAGTTTACAGTTTCAAGCTTTATATTTGATGTTAGTAAGGCTATATATAAGTATATATTTTTAAAGCCTTAATTTGAGGTTTATAGATTTAATATTTTTAACAGGATATCGATTATGAGGGCTTCCAAAAGTTTATGGATACATATCTGGAGATTGAAACTCCTAAAGATCTAGTAAAGCATTTGTTTCTGTCTTTTGTTAAGAAGTCATCTCAAACGGTTGATGGTAAGCTTCTCAAGGTAAGTTAAAGTGAAGAATTATTGCGAATTGATAAAAATAAAGTCATTTAACTTATCGGAAAATCAATCATTTATGATAATTTAATATATTCGAAACCTATTCACGTTGTTCGATTTTCGAAAATCGTTGGCTTAACCGCATACAAGTCGGGATGTTTTGTAATATATCTCTATATCCACTCGAGCGACTTTAATTAAATTTTAAATTTAAATTGAGAATTTAATCAGTAAATCTTTTGCAATTTTTTATCTTAAAATTACTTACCGTTTAGGATTTATAAGCGATTGTTTATTACACAAAAACTAAGAAATTTATTGAAGTTTAAGTTAGATATTCTTATAAAGGATAAAATTATTAATATTTTTGTTAATTTTCACGAATCTAACTTAATCGGTTCGGAAATTATGCGGTTTTGAATATTTCTATTCTTTTTACTTCGTATCAATCACACAGAATAGAATAGTATATATTTTTATTATTTTTTTTTTTATAAGCCAAATCCAATTTCTTTCAATGCTTNGTAACATTCCAATAGACAATATGCAAAGCTTTTTTTTCAGTTTACAGCAGTATTTATTACACAAAATTTAAGTAAAGCTTAACATGCCGATCTTGCCCCGGTCTCCCCTATATATTTATAAATATATGATTTTGAGGTAGAACAGGCCCATTTAGTCATTTCTTTTTGAACAAATGAAAAGCATAGATTGTTAGAAGTCTTAAAGACTTTATTACTTTTTAATTTTGTAGGGATAGGAACCATTAAAAGCTCTTAACTTTTCTTGGTCCTTCGACGGTCCTGCTTGATCCAGGACTTAGAATCAGGATCTTTTAGATGTCAAAACAGGCCCCTAACTTTACTAATTTAAGCCTCGAGTGTATAAAATAAATTAAACTAAACAGAATTGAATGTTTATGAGACCTCTTCGAAAGGAGCCATTCTTCTGTGATAAGGCCTGCTTGTAATCCTACATCTTAAACAATATTAAATATTATATTATATGCTCTTTACATTAATAAACTTGCATTAAAATGGGCCTCGCAATAAATTTAAACCGTCACTACTTTGAATTAGGCCCTATTACAAATTTATCAATTTTCTAATTTAAATTTTCTTTTTATTATTTTATAATTAAACGCATTCAATCGTAATTTTTCTTTTAAATTATTATTAATTTTTAAATTTTTCTCGTTTAGATTCGTCTAAGAAATTAAGCGATGTTTTAGACGAATTTAAAGAAAATTCTACTTTCTCCAAATATAATCCTGAAGGAGTAAGTAAATTATTATTTTTATTTATTAATTTTTTAAAATATTTTAAATTAATTTTAATCTTTTAAAATGATAAAAGTTAGAACAAAATAAAGTTTTAATACAGTTAAGTTTACAGTTTCAAGCTTTATATTTGATGTTAGTAAGGCTATATATAAGTATATATTTTTAAAGCCTTAATTTGAGGTTTATAGATTTAATATTTTTAACAGGATATCGATTATGAGGGCTTCCAAAAGTTTATGGATACATATCTGGAGATTGAAACTCCTAAAGATCTAGTAAAGCATTTGTTTCTGTCTTTTGTTAAGAAGTCATCTCAAACGGTTGATGGTAAGCTTCTCAAGGTAAGTTAAAGTGAAGAATTATTGCGAATTGATAAAAATAAAGTCATTTAACTTATCGGAAAATCAATCATTTATGATAATTTAATATATTCGAAACCTATTCACGTTGTTCGATTTTCGAAAATCGTTGGCTTAACCGCATACAAGTCGGGATGTTTTGTAATATATCTCTATATCCACTCGAGCGACTTTAATTAAATTTTAAATTTAAATTAAGAATTTAATCAGTAAATCTTTTGCAATTTTTTATCTTAAAATTACTTACCGTTTAGGATTTATAAGCGATTGTTTATTACACAAAAACTAAGAAATTTATTGAAGTTTAAGTTAGATATTCTTATAAAGGATAAAATTATTAATATTTTTGTTAATTTTCACGAATCTAACTTAATCGGTTCGGAAATTATGCGGTTTTGAATATTTCTATTCTTTTTACTTCGTATCAATCACACAGAATAGAATAGTATATATTTTTATTATTTTTTTTTTATAAGCCAAATCCAATTTCTTTCAATGCTTTAATATTGTATTCTTTGGAGTTTCGTGTGTACAAAACTGTCATAACAGATAATAATAAATTGTCCTAAAGTACACTCACGCATGGAAAAACTGAATAGAACATTGTAAATATCCGCTGTTGACAGACAGACAGTATTACCTCATATCCCATATTTTGTCGGCTTAAGAGAAGCGACAACCAGGAGAAGAGTCTATCAGCACAACAGAACGCAATTATCACGTACCTTTGGTGGTATTTATGTCGGTCTCTGAGGTAATGGCACTTGCAGGAGATGTTGGTTTACAGTTCCATTAGTTGGCTTGTCTGCCAATGGACAGAGTGGTTTGTCATTACATCCTCTATGCCATCGTCCTTCTGAGTATCGTGTTTGGGGACGTTCACATTAAATCAGAAAGAATTCTCTTCTCATCTTCCTGTACCTCTGTCCTAACTAAATTTACCTCCATTCATTCCTCTTTCGTAATTACCATGCTTTAATGGGTCGATACGAATGTAGTTACGTGTAAATGATAAGTGCAGTTACGTACGCTAAACACTAATGTATATACGAGCCACGTAATAAAGTTCTATAAAACGTGCAAGTTAACTATAATTTGGGACATTGGATTATCGATCGTTTTCGGGGGTTTGGGTAGTGATTTTAATGAAAAAAAAAAAAAATGCTATAGATTAAGTGCCGAAATTTCAACTTTGACCTTTCGTTTAAGGATTAAACCACATTTCTATTTTCTCTTCCTCCATTTTGCTAAATATCTGTTGTCATTTTCTACCGATATCGCTAAAGTGCACTGACCTTTTCCTTGTTAAGAATATGATAGCTCAGCATATCTTTCGCTATTATTTTCTCTTTTTTTTTTGTTTCCTCCCCTTTACCTTCTACTAAAATACAGTTTAAATTTGATATATTCTTTACCGTTAAACCTTATAGCCTATCAGTTAACCACTTTTTTTTTTTTGTTTTAATTATATTCGGTACCTAAATCAATACAAATGAATTTAATTTTTTTTTTTTTGGCTTCTCTATTCTTAAATTAAAGGTATTTAACTTTAAAATTCTTTAATGCGGCTCTTTAACAATGAGATTTATCACAAAGCAGATGGCTGCTGTAACATCGACGACCGCTTGCGCTCCTATAACTTCTCACAAATGCGGTTCATTACCTGAACTGAACAAAGAAGGACACGAAAGGAAAGAAGAAAAATCTGCTACATTAGCTGAAAAACTTCATGGACTAACAGAAAAACTTCACAGCCTCGGACAACATAAAACAGATAACGATAATAATCTAAGAAATCGAACAGGTAGAGAGAGACTTTCTCCTCATTCTCCTCTTCCTTAATTTCATTTCTTTTTAAAATGTATCAAAAATAAACCTTGATTTCTTCACAGATAGCGCATCCGTACATCCTATAGTAACTGTAACACAAAACTACGATCAGAAATCGACTGATTCTTCACCAAGTCAAGCATCAAGGAATTCATCTAGAAAATCCAACAGCTCTCTTCTAGTTCATAATGGTAATTTAAACTACATTATATACATTTAAAATATAGAAATATAAGCATTTCTTTTCTTTACTAACTCGTTTAACAACCATTATATTTATTTCGAGACATTAAAAAAGCCATACTAAACTGTACACTTGTATTGTACGTAACTACGATACAACACAGTTAATTATCAATTATTTTAAGAATCCTATTATCTCTTTTAGTATCTTAGAGATTTATTTATTTTTTATGTAGTAATAAAAGCAAGAAGATAACGAGGAACATGTAACATATAAAGATTCTCTTTGATTCTCTCTCTAATAAAGTATTGTAGGAGAAGAGTCGAGGAAATCAATAATGATGTGGAGAAATAACAAACAATGAACTTAAAAAAAAGATTCTTTCTTAAACCTTTCCTTAAACTATTTCAATTAATTTAAAAGAATTTTGTTTTTTTTTAAGAAAAGAACATTTAAAAGTATATTTTATTAACGTTATAAGAGTTTAAAAAAATGATCTTTCCAGTTTTAATGAAGTTTGCAGTTTTATTTTGATTTTTTTCCCTTTTAAAATGTAATTAAATTTAATTTTTAATGTTTTTCTTGTTAATTACTTCTTGAAATTAATTTTAAAAAATCTCTTTTGCTAATTTGGAGCTATAAAAGTCAAGTCAATGCATTCTAATTGCTTGAGAAGTGAAATTCTCGAAGATTTAATGAAATTATTTCATTTTATAAGTATTTTGTTTTAAAAAAATTCTATATTTTTTAGCTCAAAATTTGTATAGGGATGTACGTTTGAGCCCTAAAATTAACCTTAAAGTTTCTAGTTTTTTTTTTTTTTTAATATGAAATTGTGATGTTATTTACTGATGAACAAACACGCAGATTATTATTATTCTAGTGGAAATTAAACCATTAAGAAAGACTAGTAGCCATTTGGATATCCACACACTCACAGTACCTCTGAAGGATATCATCTGCTATCTTTCTTTAATGGAAGCTGGAAGACCTGAGGATAAATTAGAATGTAAGAAATTCGAATTTTTCCTATTTTTTCTACGCTATTATCCAATTTTATTGACATTTGTTTCATTGATATGGCATAATTGCAGCTTTTAAAATTCTTATTCTTTCTGTAATTACAGTTGTATTTCGTCTTTACGATACCGATGGGAATGGTTACTTAGATAGCAACGTACGTACTAGAATGATTTTTTTTCATTTTTTATAATAAAAAATGAGTAATTTTTTTATAAGATCTTATTCTAATTTAGGAAATGGATTGCATAGTTAATCAGATGATGACTGTGGCTGAGTATCTTGGCTGGGACGTCTCCGAGTTGAAACCTGTGCGTATTATACAACGAAGAGTCATTTGGCGTGGAAAAAAATCATTTAACTCTTAATTTAATTGAGTAAAATAACTTTCTGGACTTTTCTTAGATACTTAAAGACATGATGGTCGAGATTGATTACGATGCTGATGGTAAAGTCTCGTTAGAAGAATGGAAACGTGGAGGGATGACCACAATACCACTCTTGGTTCTCTTAGGTTTAGACTCGGTTAGTTCAGTTTCTAATCTATAAAAACCATTAAAATAACTTTATATTTAATCTAAAATATGTCTTAGAATGTTAAAGATGATGGAAATCACGTCTGGAGATTGAAACATTTTAACAGACCCGCCTATTGCAATCTCTGTCTCAATATGTTGGTGGGTCTTGGTAAAAAGGGATTGTGCTGTGTCTGTAAGTATTATTTAAATAATTATCTGTACTTAAAATGATTAATGGTAACTGTTTTGGTTATGTTGAACAGTTTGCAAGTACACTGTTCACGAAAGATGTGTACAGAGAGCACCCGCTTCTTGCATCAGTACTTATGTCAAGTCGAAGAAAACATCTCAGGTAATTTTATATGTTAATTAGTTTATTATTATTATTATTATTAAAATTAATTTAAAATTGATAAATTTAAATTTGTTCTGTGGGTGGTCTTCTTGAAGGTTTTTATGTCCTTGGTTGTTTGTAATTTATCTTATACGTGCTCCCATTCATCCTGTAATGAAATTCTACCGAAATATTTTATAGTTTCAGAACAATTTCATTGGAAATTTGGTTAAAAAAAAGAATTTCGTCTATGTACTTTGAAAAGCATTAAAAATACAGTAAAATTTTTAAAGTAAAACATGGTAAGTGGATAAAAGTGGTTAAAGAATCGAAGCACGACGTTAAATTATTTTAAAAAATTTAATGCAAATGAATTCTTTTACTTCCATTTTTCATATTCATGAGCAAAACTATAAAACTAGAATATGCTAATGATGTGACACTAAAATCTGTTGTCGCAGTATCCGAAATATCTACATCAATTCCTCGAAAAGATCACAAAGAAGTTTTAACACTCGAAGGACTTCAAATATTTGAATTTGTTGAAGAATTTGCGCAGTTGAATGTCTTTACATAATTTAAAACCAGCTATAATGAAAAAGTACAGTCGAACCTCGATATAGCTTCATCCTCTTAAAGCATCAATAAATACTTTCCTGTAAATAGAGAACCCTTCTGTACAGAACATAAAACAGCGAGGGGACGAGGTCCTGTTACCTTTGTAAATAAATAAATTACTGCATCCGTTTTATGTTGGCACAACTACTGTTCTATGCTGGCTCAACCGCATCCGTTCTATGCTGGCTCAACCGCATCTGTTCTATTCTGGCTCAACCGAATCTGTTCTATGCTGGCTCAACCGCATCTGTTCTATGCTGGCACAACTATATTTGTCATATCTCTTATATTAAAATAAAAATATTTGTGTATGCCGTTACAATTGCATCCATAATATCAGAATGACACGACATAACTTTTTTTTTTTATTCAACATTTTTTTCCTCTTGAACATGCAAATTCTATCACGTCGATGGAGTATTAGTCAAAAGCAGTTATTAGCAATTCAGACGTGTCTAGAAGAGTGCTAAAGTCCTTCGAAATTTATAATTAATTATTGTAATTGGCTGACAAACTAGCTTANCCGTTACAATTGCATCCATAATATCAGAATGACACGACATAACTTTTTTTTTTTATTCAACATTTTTTTCCTCTTGAACATGCAAATTCTATCACGTCGATGGAGTATTAGTCAAAAGCAGTTATTAGCAATTCAGACGTGTCTAGAAGAGTGCTAAGTCCTTCGAAATTTATAATTAATTATTGTAATTGGCTGACAAACTAGCTTAAATTCCTCTTAGATTGTCACACGCGAAGGTTGTTGATTTACAAGCAAACGTGACAAAGTTTGTTGATTATTTCTTGTAAATTCTATCCTTTATCCCGGTTTTAAAATTTTAATTTAAGACGTCGTTAAATCTTTTAATGGTTTCCTTTCAGTTAATTTAATAGACGAGTTTTGAATATTTTAAAATGTTGAACAGGTTTCGAAATTTGTTTTAGAAGATTTTCTTGAAATTAATAATTTGTTCCATTTAAAAATTAAAAATATAATTATGCTAATGATTTTCCTATTTGTTTTAATTCTATTAATTCATCGTTAAATCGAATTCTAAAGCTGTATGCAAATTAAAGTTAATGGAGTTCTGTTTAAAATCGCCTTAATCATATTTAAATATATGTTCATAATAATTAAAGGAAATGCTTGTAATTATCTTCGCCTTAATAAATTTAAATTGTCCTTATCGTGCATAAAAGTTAAATTTAAGCGATTTAATTTTAAAAAAATCCAAACTTTGAAAGCTAAAATATACAGGAATTTATTTATTTATTTTTTACTCTTCCCTTCTTGTGGGCACTAATAAGGCCTTTTAATCATATCAATTACGAGTCTGGCCAGGCCCATAATGAGGTGGCTGAAGCCCGACATATCCGGGGCAGACAACCACCGAAAAATTCATGGATTTTTCGACCTCCCAAATTTAAATTCTGGTCCTCCAGAATGGTAGGTCAACTTGAGGTTATTACTAGCAACGTAAATTACTACAATAGAAATTCGTTAATTCGGCTTTCGAAAAGCCAACACCACTCTAGTTCAGAGATGCCGTATTAACGAACTCTTACTGTGCATCTAGAACATTAAATACACTATATTTAGCGTATATCTATACCCTATAAACAAAATATCTGTTTATAACTATCCTAAGTTATATATATACAATCTAAATCTAAACTCTACGCCAAATAAATCTAGAGACTTATTTAATAATATAACCTCAAAATGAACCATTAATGGATATAATATAAACTACAATTTTAAAATTAAAAAAAAATTATTCTAGAAACATAGGTAGTCCTCTGTTATATGTGAGAAAAAAAATCAGAAATTTAAACGATTTAAAAGACGATTGGTCGATGAAGGCGGAGTTAAGCGAATCTCCTCCCATTTTTTACTCTCTTAACCAATCGTTGCTTAGATATTTAAATTTCAAATAATTTTTAAAAGATATTTATTCATGAGCGGCCTATATTTAATTTTACGTAATTTTTTCTTCTATTATTAAAACCCAATTTTATAAATGATTAGAATACAATATTTACCCTCCACTAATACTTAATACTATATATAATTCTTATTATTTGGATACTTCGGTTTAGCGCCATAGTCGATTTAGTGCCACTTTTAGAAGCGAGCAGTTAGTGGCGCTAAATCGAGGTCCAATTGTATATTATTATATTAATAATATATACTGTAAATGTGTAATGTATATTATTATGGAGTTTCACGTTACAACATCTTATATAAGACTTTAATACCAGAACTATGTAGACAAACAATAGCAATGTCAGAGCAATAAGTATCAATAACGGAAGAGAGAGCAAATAACATGGAGAATTTGTTATTTATAGGTTTAATCTGTTATTATTTTATTGCTTATGTAATCTGCATTATATATGTCTGTCTGGTTACATAATTGTTTGGTTACGCAGTTGTTACTTGTTATATTCTCCTTTATAAGTTACAAAACCTTATAAATTATTTGATATAATCAGAAGTAAGTTCAGGTAGAGGGGTCAGCAGGGCCCCCCTGAGCCAAAGAAAGAATATGGAAAAAATAATTTTATAAAGGTTCGTTTGATTAGTAAAAATTTTTATTTTATTCATGTATATTTTTTTTATAGATTTCAAGAGGTTTGAGGTTCCAAGAGGGGTTAGTAGGTCCTACGAGAGGGGTGCAACCAGGCCCACGAGCTATAGGGGGCCCATTTTGAGAGGAAAAATTCAAAAATTATGTTTTCTGATTATTTTTTCCAAATAATGAACTAACTTTGCCATGGACTAATGTTTATACTAGATTATTTTTCTATTTCAACATTTGTTTCTTGTATAATCAGCATGGGATCCCAAAATGGTATTTGCACCGACAGCTCTCCATTCTCTTGGGAGGCGTTGGGGGCGAGGTTCCACGAGGAGTAATGGTATATGAGGGGTGAAGCCCCTTCTCTTATTCAAGATAAGAGAAAGAGGGGAGATGAGTCCAAAACCCTGGCTAGGTGACCTATCTCCTCTCCCCCCTCTCTCTCTCTCTCAAGGCCTCTTGAAAAACATATTTTACACCCTAAATACATTTTACAAATTAAAATTCCGCATTTAATTTTAACTTTAATTTATATTTTTTGTGCGTTACCTTATTAAATAAGATTATAATTATCGTGATACAAGCCTGTTAATCCGATAACGTGACTCTACAAGAAGACGATCTTCTCGTAGAATCAACTAAATTCTGAAGGCGAATCTACAGTGTTAGTGGCTAACCTTTGAACAGGAATCTCTTAAAACTATCCAACTTACAAGGTGACATCTTAAATTTCAAAAACTGTGATTTACTAAGATACAAATAGTCCGCGCGAGATTATTTGGCATCGAATTCGAAACGTGCAAGAAATCGAACCACGAACGTGATCCATACTCCAGATACGTTAGAAGCAGCTGTCGAATGCCATGAATTTTGTATGAGGAATGCCCAAAAATTGCCCTCATCACTTTGTACTCTTTTATTTTTTAAAGGTTGCCACTTGTCTGCCAGCAATTCTTCACAATGCCTACTTTATCTAGCTCTTATGTTCCACGTTTCTAATTTTTTTATTTTTTTTTTATTTTCAATAACGACTTTTGCCAGTCTACTAACAATCACGTCCAGTTCGGACTACAGTTGACCTGATAACTTCAATCATATCGATCATATAAGGGTCGAGCATCGGTAGCTTGTGTGGTGTATGTGGATCTCATTCTAATGATACGAATCGAGTTACTTCGCTGAAACCTCTCGAGCATTGTTAGCATTTTGATGGAGTAAATTGTTAAAACAATCACGATTCTTCTTTGTTACATTATTACTAACAATAAAATTGTTTTTTTTTATTTTTTACATTAATTATACGCCTAGAAATTACAAAGTGCCGATTTTTCGCGACGTCAATTTGTAGATTCTTTTTAAGAATTACAGGAATATTAATGAGGAATTTAAGAATTATTGTTTTAATGTATTAAAATATATCTTTTACTAATATAATAATACATTTTTATATTTGATACACGTGATATTTACACATTACAAACAGTAGAAGTGAATGAATAATATTTATGCTATCGTTTATGGAGTAGATCGATAAGTTAAAGTTTTTTGTCGTGAATGCTAACTGACAGATGATTTTTCTTGTGCAGTTCTTCTTATTGCGACCACATTTTTTTTTTTTTTTAATTTTACCTCTACCATCTTTATATTAATCATATTTTTTCGTAGAATAATTCATTCTTTGATCTCGAAATTAGAGTTTAAAAACTCTAAAAGCATGCACTTCTCTACAAGTTTATCCTTCTTCTTATGCCTTGAAACCTTTCTTACGTTTATCAGTTTGTTTTCTTGGGATGTTTACTTAATTGTATTTTATATTATGTGGGTGTAACTTAATAAAATTGCTGACTTTTCTACTCCAAATGGACTTATGACTAGACGATAGTTGCATTACCAATTTCTTGATTTATCAGTCTGGTTAAAAGGAAGAGAAACGAATTTGATAAGATTTTATCTAAAAGAACAAAATAAAAATTCAATTAAGAAGAAAACAAACTGCAAAATTTCTTCTTATTATTATTTTATTCTTATATTTTTAACCTGTTCTTACCATCAGGGGCTAATGGTAAATGATGGAGTCGTAAATATGGATATTATTTTAACTGTTTTCTAGATAATTATAACGTTGTTGAGAAATCTGTAAATTGTTATTTTATCGATTACTTTACGAACATTAAAGATATTGAATTAAGTATAATTTATTTTATATTTAAGGATTTTTAAAATATATATATATTTTAATATATTAATGAATTCATTACATTAACTTTCTTATCGTTAATTTTGTGTAAAAATAATTGGTAATTAAGGTATCTTTAAGGTTATTGTATGAAAATCTTTTCTAAAAATCTCTCTTTTAATATAAAAAAGGGAGGTTTATGTAAGTTATGTACATAATTTTTGGCGAGTTATCAACAAAATTCATATCTAAGAAAGTATCCATAAAGTCGATAAGTAATTTTTTTTTTTTTTTTTTTTCTTGTACGATTCATTCGCGTTCATATACACCACTGATATCCAATAGAACTATTTTAAACANAATTCGCCAAGCCTTCATCACTTCCTAAATGAGTTATTTTGTAGAATATATATATATATATATAGTTAATAATTAATTAATGACGTTAATTTTAATTAAAGATTTTATTTTATAGTTCGATTATTGCAAAATTTGCTACTTAAGTTTAATTCCAAACAGAATAATTACCAAACAATTACTGTACAGAGAATTACTTGAATGGGATTTCTCTCGACGGTAATGCCTCATTAGAATTCATTTGGATTTGCCTGTTAGAATGTCAACCTCTTAATGAAGTGATTGCAAGAATTCTTTAATTAACTGAGCCACAGTCGCCCCGGAAGTAATCGTTTTGCTTACGTATGCTTGACCTCATACGTAAGTGTAGCAAACGCAGGTGACTATATATGGTCAACATTTGTGTAATCTCCATCACTTATACTTGTTTTCTTGTCGGAATTCCTTAAATTTATAATTATTTTATTCTAAAATGAAGCATAAATTGATAAGATAAGGTAAGAATTATAGCTAAGTGCATTAATATATAGCCTATATATTAAGATGCTTCGAGTCGATGGCTTCTTATGCGCGTTAGAAATTAAGAAATTTTGCTTTTAATTTATGAATATTTTTAATTTATTTTCTTTAAATAATTTAAAATTTTATTTAATTCTAACTGAAATTTATATAAAATTTAATTATATTTAAGAACAAAAATATACCATTTAATAGTAATTTAGTGAGGTAAGATCGTTTACAAAAGTCAACCCAATTATTTTTCAGACTTTAACTCACCATTGGACAGAAGGTAACTGTACAGGGAAGTGTAGCAAATGTAGAAAGCCAATCAAGTCTTACAATGGGATTACTGGTCTCCATTGTCGATGGTGTCAAATGACAGTAAACGAATTTATTTTTGTCTTAAGTAATAAAAATAAAATCCTTAATTTTAATAAGAAATTCATTTTATTTTTTTAAGCTTCACAACCATTGTGCCTCTCAAGTAAAACCAGAATGTACGCTAGGACAACATAGGGATCATTTACTATCTCCGACTTGTATCTGTCCCATTGTTCTGGTGAGTTTAGTAACCTTATTTTAATTAAAAGATATTCATTAATGCATTTATAAAATCCGTAGAAAATTGGAATAATTTAAGCAGAATTTCTTTCTCTTCAATTCGAGCGTGATGATATGAAAATTAGCTTTAACAGCACCATGTATTTTTCGCACGTCAATTGATTTCCTGAGGGTTTACACTTTCTATGTAACTAGTAAAGCGTGAAAGACTTTCACGTATACCGAATTGGGAATTCCCTCCCAGCTACAGGCTTAAAAAATTTTACTTTTTTTTTAAGAGAAAAAAAAATGATTTTAAATAATTATTTTAATGATATTTTCGTTAATTTCTTCACAGGAAAGGCAAAGAAGCGTTACTAACAACCAGAAAAAGAACCTTTCTAGAACTGACTCGAACATGGTTGGAGGCGATAATAATCAATCGGTTAGTGTAAAATTTTTAACTGAAAAATTTAGAAAAAAAATATATTAATTTTTATATAAAAATTCCAAATAAATTACGAACAATTATTTACTCTGACATTGTCACAATTTTAATCGTATTTTTCATTTATTTAATTTAAAATATATGCTCTCCACCTCAAATTATTAGTGTCTTGCCCCTGTATATCATACTTTCCTGCTAGCGATAGAGTCGTGCTAGTCATCTATCTAACTCCTTTCGGGGGAGAATCGTGGTTTCTTGTCCCTCAGCTGGTCTCAATTTTCATTTATCTCACTCCATTCTTGAGATTAAGGAAAAACAGACAGACTGACGACAGTGGGAATTTATAAGACTACAATTTTTTTTCATATTGCAGCTCAATAAAGTTTAAGCTTCTATAAGACGAAGAATAATGTTATTCAAGTCACGGAGGTAGTGAGAATTAACTTTAACTATTTGTCAACTATTGACACTCATCCCTTTTATCCTTGAGAATCAGTTGTCTTACTCGTTTTCTATCCTAAGATTAGAGACTCACACTGTCTTAATGAGATATCAACCGGCTGAAGATTATAGTGACATCTTCTATACCCTTCTCCATCTCTACACCTTCCAGTACTTTCAGAAATTGTTGATGCTGGATTGTTCTTCTTAAAGTATTTTTTATTGTTCTTTGAAGTAGTCACAACTATCCAGCTTATATATAACAATTTTTATGGGAGACAACAGAATCAGGTGATGCTCTAAGTGATTTTTCTATACGTTTTCTAAGGGATTAAAGGCTTACATTTTGATTATTTTCCGAAAATATTGTTGGAATTGTAAAGAATATTAAGCTCTGCAGTGTTTAGTTATGATTTCTAATGGGTTATTTCCTTAATTTAAGACTCTTTTGCCTTATTTTTTACCGTAAACTGTTTAGGGAACAGCGTGTCTACTGGTGGTTCCTTGTTAATATTATTAAGAACTTACCAAAATTAAACTGTTAAGCTTGATTCTTCCTCTATTTTAGTCACGACACGATCTCTTTGGCTGCATGACATATTAGTTTAATCCCCTTTTCTCCGTTATATAATCATTAATGGCAGGAACTTCGCTGTGTAATCTATGTGTGAACTGTAGCATGATAAGAAGGTGAGAGGGAACAAATGAACCGAAACCAACCTTCGTCCTCTGGAAATTCATGAGATTATATGAGTTAAATGCGAAAATTTTCGGGATTAAACTGAAATTATCATTGATAGAGCATTTAAAACAGGAGCCCCATTATGGCCCATCAAACTTGAACTACTATTTTGACTAATTCCAATTTTTCCCTCCAAGAACTAACCTAGATGATAGCATGGAGAAAAGTAATAATAGCGACCTCTTATTATAACTTGAAAAAGGCCGGATTTAAAAGAAATTTACACGTAGGGGTCTTGTGTTACGAGGGCCTTCAGGGTTTTAAATTGGTAGAAGGGCCTTCAGCTCTTCTAAGGAATCTAAAAGGAGGAGCCACATCAATTCTAAATAAAGTTGAATTAAAGTAAAATTTCGTTAATAATAAGTCAAAAAGGTAGAAAATATCATTACTTTTCACTTAAGAAGATAATTTAATTATTATTTCGCTCTAGAAAACAAAGGTTAAAGCACTTCTCTTAGAGTACAACTCAGTAAAAATTCAATAATAATATCATTCTAATGATGATAATAATAATAATAATTTAGAAAATAAAAAAAAATGGAAGGAAAATCTCAATTTAAAAACGAAGAAAAAATAGAATAAAATTGGTAAGATTTTCAATAAAATAAACTAAACATAATAAAAAAGAAAATTAAATTTCCTCGCATCTTAGTTTCAATTTCGAATCTTTTTCGTTTCACTTTGAAAAATTCCCTATTCAATAAATAACGTGGACTGTCGACTTCTCTTGTTCTTCTCTAAAATAAAAAAATATAAAAAAAATAAGGAAATAAAAGAATAAAATATCATTTTGTGCCAATCTTTCGTGGAGTTCAACTTACTTTTATTTATTTATTACAGATGTCAGCCATGTCTTTCCAGATAACTCCTTTGGCTGGTACACACCCTCTCTTAATTCTGATCAATCCTAAGAGTGGAGGAAGACAGGGAATGAGGTAAATTATATAAAAACCTATCATCTCGACCAATTGTATCTTCTCTTGTCACAGGACAAGTAGCAGGAAATACGTCGTGCGCGCGTTAAAATACGTCCTCCTTTAACCTTCTACTAAAGAAAATTAACTTTTCTATTTTCTCCTTTATTTCTTTTTGTTTTCTCTTATTCTAGAATATTAAGAAAATTCCAATATTTGTTAAATCCAAGACAAGTCTACAATATTGCTAAGGGTGGACCGATGCAAGGGTATGTTTTTTATTTTTTTATATATAGATTTATCCTTATAAAATGCAGTTTAAAAGTTTAAAAAAATGTTAGAATTTATTTAATATTTTGATTTTTAAGTACTTTTATTAGGTTATTTATGTAAATAGCGGTTTAATTAGCACGCGACACGATGCGACACGATGCGAAAATGGATGCCGATAAATATCACGTTTCATTGTCAAATTTTTTAATAATTCAAAAAAAAAAAACTATATTATTGTGGTAAGTTTATAACTGACTGTAACGGACTAATATCATAATTTTTCTGATTAATTTTTAATAAAAACATTTAAAATTCTAATAATTTTGTAGCGGCGCGCGCGTTGGTGTAACGACTCCTATATTTTTGCTATAAAAAATGTAATAAAATATTTTAATTAAAATTAATTTATATATATAAATATAATACTTTTAAACTTTATCTTATATTAATATATTTATTTATTTATTCATCTACAATAAAAAATATTTACATTTTTAATGTAATAAAATAAACTCTCAAGTTAGCTTCGCTTCGCGTCGCGATTGTCGCTACCTCGACGCGAATCTTATACAAAAGCGCATATTCTCAAAAATTTAATAGAAAAAAAACGAATTAACATTTAAAATCTATAAAATAATCAAATAATATAATTTAATTTATTTATTAAAAGATAAAATAATAGTTTAATATTGTGGAAGCTCTTAAAGAGTCGCGTAATATAGTGCGAGCGCGACGCGATGTTATTACAAAGATCAATCATTAATTATATAATTATTGTTAAATTTATAAACTAATTAAAATATACAATAACTTTAGAATATTTCTAAGTCTAACTTAAGGCTATTTAATTAGAAATATGTTTAAATATATTTATTTAATGTAACGTGCGACTCGTCATGCAAGTAAAATTGTTGGAATGCTCGAAATTTCTATTTAAAATATAATTTTCTACTTAAAATAAAGTAATTAATATAATTAAGAATTCTTTTCAAACATTGTTACAGCTTAAATATATTAAAATCTTAATTTTATAAGGAAAAGTATACGTAAATCGTTATATAATGCGCAGTCTTATCGAAAGAATTCATCGTGTTTAATTAATAAAAATTTAATTATTTTATTTAATATATATATATATATATGTTGGTTGGAGAAGTGNTTTTTTTTTAAATTAAAATATAATTTTAAGAAATTAAATTAAATTTTTTATTGATTATAATGATTAAATGTTAATTATTTAATTTAACGTAAATTTATAAGAAAATAAACTTCATTTTTTAATTCAGGTTTCACGCTTTTAATGTATATTTTTATGGGTATTAATAAATATAAATTAATTAAAATTTTAATTATTATTAATAATAAAATAAATTATAATTAAATAGATTACAATTTTATCAAGATGTACCAAATTTTAAAGTACTTTGCTGTGGAGGAGATGGGACAGTTGGATGGGTACTCGATACAATTGGTAATTACACTAGACTTTAATATGCCTTTAATATTGAAAAATAAATTAAATTAAATTTTTAAAAGATATTATAAAACACTTTAATTTTAATAAATATTCATTTTAAATTAAAAATTTATGCTAATTTTTCTGTAAAATAATTCATTTTTTTTTTACGTTGATAAAACGTTGTTATTATACGTAAAGTATAATATATTATTGTTTAATACTGTATTTAAATAAATTTTTAATTAATTAATATTTTTTATTTTGTTGTTTATAATAATTTTTCTGATTATTTCAGACAAAATGAACTTTCAGTTTCCTCCAGCTATCGCAATACTTCCTCTTGGAACAGGAAATGACTTAGCGAGATGCTTATGTTGGGGACCGGGTACGAATTTTTATAACGTAATTTTTCAAATAATTTCCCTATTTTAAGGCAGTTTTATTTAAAAATGATGCTTTAGGGAATAATTCGGGAAGATTTTTTCTTAAATGCGTACAAAGTAACCTCTAAACAATGGCCATTTTCAGAGGACTTTTCTCTTTAAATAAGTACAAAACAACCTCTAAACAACGGCCATTTTTTTATGTTTCCGCCAGTGGTCGTAGTTCGGAGGTTTGGCTGTAATATTTTTAGCTAAATAAAATGATCTTCTAGTTTATCTTCTTATTACACAATATAATTCGAGAAAACATGCAGCATTATTTATATTAAAATGTCGATAACGATAGTTAATTTATAAATTTCTCGATAGAAGAGAAATTGGCGCTATTATTCATACGTTAAGAACAAATTAAAGTTAAGTTATAACCTTACATACACGTATAAGAATAAGGATAACTTTTATAAAGACAATCAGCGCTATTTCCACACCTGCTGGGAATTTAGCGAACTAACTTCATAGAATATTTTAGTTTATGATGGTGTCTTTTGTGAAAGATTTATACCTTAAAAAACGACAATTATCCTACAGGATACGATAACGAAAGCCTAGATAAGATCCTTAAGAAGATCGAAAAGGCGACAAGTGTGATGATGGACAGGTGGAAGATTGACATCTCACCAGCAGAAGATTGTGAAGAGAAGGGAGATCCAATACCCTGCACGATTTTTAATAATTATTTCTCTATCGGAGTTGTAAGTTTAATTAATTATAAATTAAAGTAAAAATGAAGAAAATCCACTCCTAAAAATTCACAAAATACATTTTCTAGGATGCTTCCATAGCCATTAAATTCCATTTAGAACGTGAAAAACATCCAGAAAAATTCAGCAGCAGGTAAAAAATAAAAAATAAAATAAATTCTCCTTTTCTGAACAGATTTTAACATGAATTTTACATTTTTTAGAAATAAATTTATGTCATTTTTTTTTTTCCTGTTTAGGATGAAAAATAAAATGTGGTATTTCGAATTCGCTACTTCAGAAACTTTTTTCGCCACTTGTAAACATTTACACGAAGCTATCCATAGCCATTAAATTCCATTTAGAACGTGAAAAACATCCAGAAAAATTCAGCAGCAGGTAAAAAATAAAAAATAAAATAAATTCTCCTTTTCTGAACAGATTTTAACATGAATTTTACATTTTTTAGAAATAAATTTATGTCATTTTTTTTTCCTGTTTAGGATGAAAAATAAAATGTGGTATTTCGAATTCGCTACTTCAGAAACTTTTTTCGCCACTTGTAAACATTTACACGAAGCTATCGAAATTTTGGTAATATTTTTTTAAATATTAAATTTATATTTTCTATAAATTTCTGTATATAAATCCTTTATTTGTCTATTTTAATAAATAAAAAATAATAATAATAGTTGTAAATTATACCAACAGATGTCAGCAGATGCAATAGCAAGTCTATTTTTTTTATTTTTATTTTTAAAAATTACTTTTTAGATTTTAAAGTAAAATATATATATCACTTTATATTTTACTATATATAAAAATCGATTTAATTTTAATTTTTTTTTAATTATTAAAATGTTAATTTTTAGGTTTATTGTATTATTGAAGTGTTATAGGCTAAACGTGATAAGTTACACGTGTTTTGTATCATCTAAAATCCCTTTTCTAACTAAACTTTGGATATAAATTACTGAAAATGTGTAAAATTAAAGTAATTTTATAGAATCTGAAAATTTTAATTTAGTAAATTTTAAATTGAGAAAAACTGCCGACTTGAAGAACGTCTTGTGTATTACACAGAAAATAATTATATTTTTATTATTATTATAACCTTACTTTAACCTATTTCCCCTTATTTAGACATTAGGAAAAAAGGGGGTGAAGGGCATCATTCTTTCACTTGTCAGACCTGTACAATTGGTCACATAACAGAGATGACGTCTAAGATTACTTTGTTAAATCTAACAATGAAGATTTTATCGTATATTATTATAATTACTTAGCTTATATTGTTGTTTAAACAAGCAAATTTTAATGTAAATATTGCATCTGTATTCATAAAATGCTTAAAAATTAAGCAGAATAAATTAATTTATACAAATTTATTGATTTAATAACGAATTTTTCCGCCAGATGGAAGCACGTACGACGCCGTAACCCGTTAATATTATCTCGCCTCTAAATTAGAATTTAAAACGTTTTGAAATTATCCTCTAAGTAATTCGTTGGAATATTTATAAGATTTTACGAAAATATAAAAATTTTTAATAAAGTCTTAGCGGTTTTTTAAAAAATCTACCCAAAATAAGTTCTCATTCCGTTATGACGTCAGAAATTAAGGCGGGGTTAATTTAAATTTAAATTTTTAAATTTTAAAACGTTTTAAAACCAAGCGTATAAAAGTTTTAACGTAAAATTTAGTAATTTTTTTTTTAATTAATGATTTAAAATGTGTTATATAACGTAACTAGTTAAGAACAAAGTCATTAATAACATTCCCTTCGGCATCTTTCTTCATCAGATAAGGATATCGGGAAGCTAAAGATAATGCTGAGAATAACATTCTCTATTAATCGATTTATTGATTTAACCGACCAATTTATCATGAGAATGACTCATATTATCATTATCGTACACTCTAAATTCGTAAATATTGCCTCTCCCTTGCGTCAGGTTCACATTTGTTGACTGTATCACTTCAGTTTCGAGATATTTGTTTATTATCTTAAGCTACTTGCAACATAAATTATCAAACTTAGAAGTCTTGTAACTTACTGTATTTGATTCTCTATTGTTTGTAGATTAAATTAATCTTACAGTTTATCAATGAACAACGTGTTGTAAATAATACAGTAGGCCTACGTTAATTATAATCTACTTGTTCTATCGATATATTGTTTTTGATTTAGTATCGAATGCTCTAAGTGCTAATTAACTATGGGGCCTCTTGAATGTTCCATTTAAGTTTAAGGATAATGACAGTTTTAATTGTAGATGCGAGGTTTTTGCCTGGAGTCTTGAACTTTTTGAGGCCTCAGACACGTAGTTTTATCGCTACTCTATCTAGAAATGCAATACAAGAATACAATATCAAGTGTCGGGTGATACAGGCTTTATATTTTGTATAAAAAAGGGCCTCGCAACTCTCTTATCTCTAAAGACCTCTCTCATTGTATTCGGAGGCCCCAAGCAAGTGCTTAATTTGCTTACAGGATACTGTCCTATAGGGTTATTTACACTAGTTAAACTACATTAATTTATGATTATTATGATTTGTATATTAAATTGATTAATATTTATGTTGTTAATTAACATAATTGTTTCTATTTTCAAATTTATTCTATATTCTATTGATAAATTCTTATATTAAAATAACTTAAATGTATATATTATAGTAAACTAATATGTTTAACATTAATATATCTTAATTGTTTATAATAATAGGAAGTAATAATTAAACTATTTTTGTCAGGCATTATATATGATCTACTTTAGAAAATGAGGTCTGTGTAATTATGTATCTTATCACACATCTAAATTGGTGAAAGTTTCTCTGGCCTCTCATCTAAATTGCTAATTAGGAGTTTTCTTATCCTCTTACTCTAAAATAAATCTAGTTCTTACAGTTTGTAGACCTACACACGCTCTATTTTTCTACATTAAAGCCTTTGCCAAGCCAAATTTATACGTATTGTGACCCTACCAATTTATACATTTAAAAATATGAGGCCCTAATTATCTCTTTACAGAGTGAGGCCTTAAAATGTAGAGAATAAGAGTAAATGTCCTAAAATGACTGTACCCTCAAAAACCAGATGTAAAGTTAATTTTAAGCCTCACATTTATGAATAAACCATGCTTTAGTCCTTTTATAATTAGCATTTTTATCTAACTTGTCATACGTTGTGGTTCTAAATTGTATTATAATTGATATCCGCAGTGTGACGGCCAATCTTTGGACCTGGCTACTGGACCTTCTCTACAAGGTATCGCATTTTTGAACATTCCAAGTATATACGGAGGGTCTAATCTATGGGGAGATAATTCAGGACAGAAGAAACGTACTCATGTTCAATGGAAAAAGAAGAAGGATCGAGGAGGATCCGCTTATAGTTTCCAATCAGTAGATTTGAGCACAGCTGTTCAGGGTATAGATTATCGAATTTTTTTTTTTTTTTACAAAATATATATTTTTGAGAGTTTATTTTTTATGTGTGACATGTTCTTGACAGTTCTGTTCGATTAACAGATATAGGGGATACGTTAATAGAGGTAATAGGGCTAGAGAATTGCATGCACGTTGGACAGGTTAAAGCTGGACTACGTGCTTCTGGACGAAGATTGGCACAGTGCTCCTCCGTTGTAATCAAGTATGAAATCTTAAATAACTCAAAATTAATTAAATTTTTAATATCTTCTAAGCAAAATAATTAATATAATAATTATTATTGATGAAGAACGAAGAAAAGATTTCCTATGCAAATTGATGGAGAGCCGTGGATGCAGCCACCTTGTACTGTGAGTGTTTTTGATTTAAGTTATGGTTTAAAAGAGAAATAAAATAATTAATTATAATTGATTATATATATATTATTTTTCTATAGATCCGCATCATTCATAAAAATCAAATGCCCATGTTAATAGCTCCAGTAACTCCGAAGACCAAATTTCCTTTTTCATTATTTAAAAAGTCGAAATAACCGAGGTAAATTTTATTTATTTTAAAGAAATTATAATTAATTATATCGGGGCCTTACGTTTAGGCCTTGTAACAGTAGCGATTACTCAGGCCTTTTGTCCCTGCTCTCGCATCTACGAAGGGCCTTCTAGTGGCCGAATTGATAAAATTATTGAAAAGTCGCGAGTTCGGTCCCTTTAAATGGAATTTTCCAAATTTTCTTCACGTGTCAAACATAAATGGGGGGCAGTTTTCTATGGAAAATTCCCCAAAAATATTAAATGTAAAATCTTTCAGTATGCGATTTTGCATTATAAACAACATTACCACGAAATCAGATGAAATTTTAATTAAACCTGTGTTTGTCTGTGTGGACCTTAATACTATGACTCTTGTTTAAGATACTTCAGTTTAGCGCCACACTCGATTTAATGCCAAAGATGGTACTAAATTCGTAAAGTTTGTTTGCAACTCGTGACATTTTAACTACTTTCCGATTGATTTTGTAGAATTTTTACCTCTTTATATCGAATTTTATCTAATTCTAAAATAAATACTTTAAAAAATGAATTCAATAATCCNAATTTTTTTTTTTTTACAAAATATATATTTTTGAGAGTTTATTTTTTATGTGTGACATGTTCTTGACAGTTCTGTTCGATTAACAGATATAGGGGATACGTTAATAGAGGTAATAGGGCTAGAGAATTGCATGCACGTTGGACAGGTTAAAGCTGGACTACGTGCTTCTGGACGAAGATTGGCACAGTGCTCCTCCGTTGTAATCAAGTATGAAATCTTAAATAACTCAAAATTAATTAAATTTTTAATATCTTCTAAGCAAAATAATTAATATAATAATTATTATTGATGAAGAACGAAGAAAAGATTTCCTATGCAAATTGATGGAGAGCCGTGGATGCAGCCACCTTGTACTGTGAGTGTTTTTGATTTAAGTTATGGTTTAAAAGAGAAATAAAATAATTAATTATAATTGATTATATATATATTATTTTTCTATAGATCCGCATCATTCATAAAAATCAAATGCCCATGTTAATAGCTCCAGTAACTCCGAAGACCAAATTTCCTTTTTCATTATTTAAAAAGTCGAAATAACCGAGGTAAATTTTATTTATTTTAAAGAAATTATAATTAATTATATCGGGGCCTTACGTTTAGGCCTTGTAACAGTAGCGATTACTCAGGCCTTTTGTCCCTGCTCTCGCATCTACGAAGGGCCTTCTAGTGGCCGAATTGATAAAATTATTGAAAAGTCGCGAGTTCGGTCCCTTTAAATGGAATTTTCCAAATTTTCTTCACGTGTCAAACATAAATGGGGGGCAGTTTTCTATGGAAAATTCCCCAAAAATATTAAATGTAAAATCTTTCAGTATGCGATTTTGCATTATAAACAACATTACCACGAAATCAGATGAAATTTTAATTAAACCTGTGTTTGTCTGTGTGGACCTTAATACTATGACTCTTGTTTAAGATACTTCAGTTTAGCGCCACACTCGATTTAATGCCAAAGATGGTACTAAATTCGTAAAGTTTGTTTGCAACTCGTGACATTTTAACTACTTTCCGATTGATTTTGTAGAATTTTTACCTCTTTATATCGAATTTTATCTAATTCTAAAATAAATACTTTAAAAAATGAATTCAATAATCCATCAACTATTTTTTTTAATGTTTATTTTTCTATTTATAGTTCGAAAATCGGTTTTTCCAGTAACAGAATCCGCGCCAGTATGTTCCAGCCTGCAGTTAATGCCAGAAAAAGCCTTAATGTCTTTTTTCTCTCAAACTGATGAGAAAGAACTTTAATTTCTATTTTTTTATTTTCTCTTATTTTTTAAATTAATAAACTCAGAAAAAAAAAAATATATATATATATATATATTTCATCATATATTTACGAATAGCACCATGTTGGATCAAAGTAATTTCGGATGTTGAGGAGCATCACTTGATCTAGTTTATCCAAGATGATGTCGCTTATTATATATAGCCTATATATAACAGACAGAGGCCTTGTGGGTTAAAACTTGTGATAAATTTATATGTTTAAATTATTATTTATTATGAGATAGAATCTATAGTATAATATAATTTAATTTAATCGTGAGTTATTTGAAAATATCTATATAAATATATATGTATATCAAGCTACTGTTATGTCGAATATCCACGCATACATATACATGTTTATGTGTAGTATTATTTACTCGATAAATACGAAAAAAAATAATAAATATTGTTGGGAAAGTAACCAGTTCTGACTTTTTACTACAAAACAATTTGCTGAAAAACCTTTGCAGTTATAAAATTGCTTTGGAAATTCCAATAACTGATATGTGCTTTTCTACTTAATCCCTTGTGTTGGAGTAGGCGATCGATACATCCACCTCCTATAAAACTCTACACTGGAACTAAAGAAAACAATTTACAAAATAAATATATATATATATAAGCGTCATTTGATAGTGTTTATTTTTATAAATTTCCATTCCCAAAGGTGCAATACCTCCTCCTCTCGAATTTTTTATGTTCGTCCTCCCTGCCACTTGATCAGCATCTATCAGTTTTAGTGGATAATCTCTATAGCCATTGGAAAATCAAATGCTGTAGACGGGATAAAATTCTTCAAAGTCAATTTCTTGAAAGTTTCAAGTGTTCAGAAAGAATTGGAGAAGACATTTCAGAGATTATGTGGAAAACAAACTTAAACTACAAGTATTTTTTTTTGTAGTAGAAGTTAAAACAGCCCATCGATCGTACTCGTTACCTTCCCAACATCTTCTTAACTTAAAAAAAAAAAACTGTAATATATCTGTGCAATGTTTAAAATGATGNTATATATATATATATATATATTTCATCATATATTTACGAATAGCACCATGTTGGATCAAAGTAATTTCGGATGTTGAGGAGCATCACTTGATCTAGTTTATCCAAGATGATGTCGCTTATTATATATAGCCTATATATAACAGACAGAGGCCTTGTGGGTTAAAACTTGTGATAAATTTATATGTTTAAATTATTATTTATTATGAGATAGAATCTATAGTATAATATAATTTAATTTAATCGTGAGTTATTTGAAAATATCTATATAAATATATATGTATATCAAGCTACTGTTATGTCGAATATCCACGCATACATATACATGTTTATGTGTAGTATTATTTACTCGATAAATACGAAAAAAAATAATAAATATTGTTGGGAAAGTAACCAGTTCTGACTTTTTACTACAAAACAATTTGCTGAAAAACCTTTGCAGTTATAAAATTGCTTTGGAAATTCCAATAACTGATATGTGCTTTTCTACTTAATCCCTTGTGTTGGAGTAGGCGATCGATACATCCACCTCCTATAAAACTCTACACTGGAACTAAAGAAAACAATTTACAAAATAAATATATATATATATAAGCGTCATTTGATAGTGTTTATTTTTATAAATTTCCATTCCCAAAGGTGCAATACCTCCTCCTCTCGAATTTTTTATGTTCGTCCTCCCTGCCACTTGATCAGCATCTATCAGTTTTAGTGGATAATCTCTATAGCCATTGGAAAATCAAATGCTGTAGACGGGATAAAATTCTTCAAAGTCAATTTCTTGAAAGTTTCAAGTGTTCAGAAAGAATTGGAGAAGACATTTCAGAGATTATGTGGAAAACAAACTTAAACTACAAGTATTTTTTTTTGTAGTAGAAGTTAAAACAGCCCATCGATCGTACTCGTTACCTTCCCAACATCTTCTTAACTTAAAAAAAAAAAACTGTAATATATCTGTGCAATGTTTAAAATGATGTAATATAAAGTACAAAATCATCTCGAAACATTCCATACAATTGTAAAATTCCATTCTGCATTATTGTCTGTCTGGCAAACAGGTCCAGTTGCCTGGTTAAAAAAGGCTCAACATTCTACTATACTCCCGAGCCTTTCGACTGTGTGGCATAATAATTAAATAAAATAAAGGACCACTGTTTTGTTTACATTGTAAAAATTTATAGATCTAATCTATCTTCTTTAAAGATTTATAAAGGATAATTATTTATACAATTGTTAGTAAATGGGCTTATCTTGTATATTTATGGGTGTAATAAAGTGTTTAATGTATCGAATATTCAATTAATATTAAATAGAGTTTAATATCATAATAAATTATTAATTAACATAATTGTTTCTATTTTCAAATTTATTCTATATTCTATTGATAAATTCTTATATTAAAATAACTTAAATGTATATATTATAGTAAACTAATATGTTTAACATTAATATATCTTAATTGTTTATAATAATAGGAAGTAATAATTAAACTATTTTTGTCAGGCATTATATATGATCTACTTTAGAAAATGAGGTCTGTGTAATTATGTATCTTATCACACATCTAAATTGGTGAAAGTTTCTCTGGCCTCTCATCTAAATTGCTAATTAGGAGTTTTCTTATCCTCTTACTCTAAAATAAATCTAGTTCTTACAGTTTGTAGACCTACACACGCTCTATTTTTCTACATTAAAGCCTTTGCCAAGCCAAATTTATACGTATTGTGACCCTACCAATTTATACATTTAAAAATATGAGGCCCTAATTATCTCTTTACAGAGTGAGGCCTTAAAATGTAGAGAATAAGAGTAAATGTCCTAAAATGACTGTACCCTCAAAAACCAGATGTAAAGTTAATTTTAAGCCTCACATTTATGAATAAACCATGCTTTAGTCCTTTTATAATTAGCATTTTTATCTAACTTGTCATACGTTGTGGTTCTAAATTGTATTATAATTGATATCCGCAGTGTGACGGCCAATCTTTGGACCTGGCTACTGGACCTTCTCTACAAGGTATCGCATTTTTGAACATTCCAAGTATATACGGAGGGTCTAATCTATGGGGAGATAATTCAGGACAGAAGAAACGTACTCATGTTCAATGGAAAAAGAAGAAGGATCGAGGAGGATCCGCTTATAGTTTCCAATCAGTAGATTTGAGCACAGCTGTTCAGGGTATAGATTATCGAATTTTTTTTTTTTTACAAAATATATATTTTTGAGAGTTTATTTTTTATGTGTGACATGTTCTTGACAGTTCTGTTCGATTAACAGATATAGGGGATACGTTAATAGAGGTAATAGGGCTAGAGAATTGCATGCACGTTGGACAGGTTAAAGCTGGACTACGTGCTTCTGGACGAAGATTGGCACAGTGCTCCTCCGTTGTAATCAAGTATGAAATCTTAAATAACTCAAAATTAATTAAATTTTTAATATCTTCTAAGCAAAATAATTAATATAATAATTATTATTGATGAAGAACGAAGAAAAGATTTCCTATGCAAATTGATGGAGAGCCGTGGATGCAGCCACCTTGTACTGTGAGTGTTTTTGATTTAAGTTATGGTTTAAAAGAGAAATAAAATAATTAATTATAATTGATTATATATATATTATTTTTCTATAGATCCGCATCATTCATAAAAATCAAATGCCCATGTTAATAGCTCCAGTAACTCCGAAGACCAAATTTCCTTTTTCATTATTTAAAAAGTCGAAATAACCGAGGTAAATTTTATTTATTTTAAAGAAATTATAATTAATTATATCGGGGCCTTACGTTTAGGCCTTGTAACAGTAGCGATTACTCAGGCCTTTTGTCCCTGCTCTCGCATCTACGAAGGGCCTTCTAGTGGCCGAATTGATAAAATTATTGAAAAGTCGCGAGTTCGGTCCCTTTAAATGGAATTTNTTTTTTTTTTTTTTGGCTACTTTAAGGTATATTTAATAGAGAAATTAACTATTTAAAGAAAGTATTAACTTATTTTAAGTGTCTTGAACAAATTTAAACTTAAACAGTACTAAGATATGCTATATATAAGAGATCTTTATTCCTTTATTATACATTTAAAATGATATAGGTGTTGTCTAATGTATTTTAAACTATATTTAACAGAGAAATTACCTTTTAAAAGAAATTATTAACATATTTTAAGGTATATCCTGCACATATTTAGACATAGGTGTGTCAAATATGAGGCCTCTATTCCTCTATCATATAGTAATAAATTTAAAATAATATATGTTTCTTAATGTAATTTTTTGCTATTTTAGATTATATATATAACGGAATAATTAGCCTGCTGTTTTTTAATAAGAAAATCACTTATTTTAAATTGTCCTGAAGAGAGTTAAATTTCAACTTGTATGGTCCTAGCTATAACATACAACAGGCTTTTCATCCATTAAAATTAATTAAAAATGGTTTATTTTAACTTGTTTTTTTACTGTTTTCTGCTTGTATAGTAGGGTAAATTAATTTTTAAAAGATATTTTTAGCTATTCTTTACAATAAGACTATACTTTAAACTAGTTACAATAGGTAAATCTCTGTTACACCTTTACCAAACAGTGGTAAATGTAAACGTTATACTGTTTTTAATGTAATTTTTGCCATTTTACGCTAGAAAAACTAATTCTTCAAGAATGTAACTGCATATTTTGAAGGTAACCCGCTCAGCGGGGAAGAGTTTAGAATTGTAGCTCTAAGCTGTAGTATGTAAGGTCTTCCCCTCTATGAAATAAACTTAAAAGTTCAGGCCCTATATTGGGTTTAGGGACTTAAGTATGTGTATAAATTGGGGCCTGCCTGCACAGGATTTCATTCATTCGGACGCGATATCTGTATATCTTTGAGCTCCAATTGTATCCATTTATAACTAAAAAAAATGGTTTATCAAATGAAAACAATTTTATTATCAAAAATTCGATAGGTTTGCGTGATAAAATGTATTGATTTTGAAAATGGTTCAATACCGGAAACGGAAGTTAATAAATATTTTTAATCTAACTTTCGCGCCGCGTCGTGTCGCTTTCAGTTTATAAAAGAGTGGCGCCACATTGCGTCATATTTCTATTTTTATTTTTAAAATATTTAATTCGTCTTAAACAGATTTTTATCTTCAATCTGTGATAAATTATTTAATATTTATTCGACATTTAAATTAATTATTAATTCAATTTAACATTACTCCATACGTAAAGACTGTTGGGAAGATATCGTGTGAGATCCTCCCTACGAAGACCATATAAATATATAAATAAAATCAAGGAATAAAGTCTAGCAACGTTGTTGCTAGACTTTATTTGTTTTCAGCCCTAAAAACTAAAAATTTGTACGAGTAAAAAACTCATAACTTGGAATCTTTTTGAACTAAAGGTGTGAGGCCATATCTCTTGTACCAATAGTCCGATTTTCCTGAAAATTTCTAGAAACATTTCTCCCTAATACACAAACCACCCTGCAAAATTTCATAAATTTTTGACAAAAGGTATAAGAGTTATTAAGTTTTAAAGTGGGTAAACAAAATCGTGCCCCCTCCACACACGCGCGTTAACACCCATACGTACAGAAAAAAAAAAATCCCAGATTTTTTGCATTTATCGACTTTTCAAGGTCATATGAATGTAAAAATATAAAAATCTTGAGGGGTTATTTTTTTTTTGACTGATCGCCTTACCTTCCCTCTGTTATACATAACAGCGGGAAAGTACAGTCGACCCCCCTATAACACTGTTGATTATTCCGTTTTATATGAATTCCATGTTGTACGAGTCACTTAAATTTCACAAATATGTGAGCCGTTCACAGCCAGCATATGTATTTGTAAAATCTAAGTGACTCGTACAACATGGAATTCATATAAAACGGAATAATCAAAAGTGTTATAGGGGGTCGACTGTAATTAGCTTTAATTTACATCATTTTCTATTGTATTTTATACATAAAAGATAAAATTTTCTCTGTATCTGAGACTCAGACATAAGGTCATTCTAGCCTCTTCTCCCTGAAAGTGTTCATGTATTGTGTATATTTTAAAGTTTACTGGTTAAGAGCACGAAAGGAACTAAGCTTCAATTATGATGAATAAAACAAATATAAATGCTTTGCCCTAATTTTATTTGTGTGTAGTTTAAAGTACTGATTTAGTTTAATCTCAGGATCAGTTATTCTATCACATGACAATGAGTTAGAAGAATGTTTATCCTTTAGCTCTGGAGCAGGAGATAAATTAACTTATAATTCTAATTAGAAAAATATGTTAACAGCTTTATAAAAGGTAAGTTTGTTATAATTTTACTGATTCTAAACTTCATTTCTTATGTGTTAAACCATTATCAAGTAGTTAAAAAAGTTCAATTTATAAAAGTTTATACAGCTTTAATTTTATTCTTAGAAACAAAATTAATTAGAATATAAATTAAACAAGGCCTACAGTACACAGTTTCTAATGTATTATATCACGCGAATCGTTTATAAATTAATAAATAAATAAAATTCTAAACAGCAAAAAGTTTCAGTCTAACTTCAAACTGGTCATAGGCCCTTTAATGGGCCTCCTTGGCCTCATATGAGGGATTTCGCCGACGCATCTTCACCGCAAAATACTGGTTTTTTTAAAGTTTAGTCAACTATTAGAAACACGTAAAATGATATTTTACAGAGCAGTAAACAAATTAAAGAATTAATGTAAAGGTCGAACAGTAAAAAACTATAATTATAGAGAAGAGACGGTTTCAATCACACAAAAGAACAGAAGAAACATACCAAAAAAATGTTTCTGTTTATATCTATAATAGTAGTGTGACGTCACAAGGTTACGGCTATCCGTCACAAGCTCTACAATAGAACAGGTGTTTAGTTTTCCTTGAAACACTTCCGTTCTTTTAGTGTGGTGGGAAGTTTAGATCGAGAGATACAATACACAAAGATGCGCAAATAAACACACAGAAATGCAGCTTGATAGTTTTAAAATATATAATATTTAAATTAAAATATCTTAAAATTTTACGTCACAATGATTTAAAAAAAAAAACAAAACAAAACAACACAGACTTTCGACAAATAAAATAAACTAGTTTTAAAAGTGCGCAATAATTTACGGGGGCGTAATGCTGTAGGAGTTAGAACATGTATTCTTTTTTGTTCTTTTCGACTGGTGTAACAGCCAGTTTTCTATAGTCCTGTATTGCCTTTGCCTGCTGTATTTTCTATCAGTCGGGTATGAAAAGTAAATTTATAGTTGGAGAGAAAAGTCTGTAGTGTTTGTTTACGTTATAACGTGTAAAATTCTCTCTGGTGAAAATTATGTAACTGAGAACAGACGTGTTAACTTGGGTGGAGAGGTCACAAGGTCACTACGTGGGAGAGACGTCGTTAACAGGTGGGTCGTCTGTGTTACATCGTCCGTTGACCTTAATACAATGATGATGACGATGATGATGATTGTAGTTAACTTCTAAAAATTCGAATAAATTTCCTATAAATACTTTTTTTTTTGTTTATTTATTAGTTCTTTTAAATGTAATTTTGATAGATTTATACAGGATACGACGTGATAGATTTTCTAGGAAGGTGAATTGTTACTAGAAATTCGAACTTCGATCTCCCCACTTTCTCTCTTATGTATTTTGATAGTATGGGTGTTAGATTTACAGTTCAGTGACCCTAGAAATCGATAAAAGTAAGTTTTTCTTTCTTTTTTTAGAAAATTTAAAGCGTTTTTAGAATTTAAAGTTGGAAAATAAATAATTTTAGAGAAGAATAAAAGCGTTATTGCTACCCTTCACGTCTGACATGAGTTATTAAAGCTCCATTTATCTCTAGGGTTTCCTTCTGCTCCAACTTCTAGAACGTTTTTCCGAGTTGATTTCTAGCAATTTTGAGTTATATTTCGCGTGTTTATCTTCATTATGATGAATCATAAGCAAAGATAACATCTTCTAATGATTATTTTATCCATAAATGATCAAGGAGTGGTCCCTTTTTACGTCCGTTGTGTATCCTACATAAATAGTCATACGATAGTGGAAAGCCATATGTATACTTATGGCATAATTTAAGCAAGGATACGTAACATAAATTAATCAAATTCTTCTCGTTATAATGGAATTATCTAGCTTAGTATAAGGGTTTTTAATCTGTCAAGGTTGTTTCAGAGGGGGCAAAGTTTACAGCGCTTAACTAACGAAGCATAACGTAATGGTTTGCAATACTAAATGCAATTTAAATGTTATAAAAAAAAAAAAAATGACCGCCACAAAGACGCCCACGTTCATCTGCTTGACTTATCATCGCATCCTTTGTTAAATCAAACGAATAAAATGGTTTTTCTTTATAAATTTCCATCTACATCAACCTCTCGAGTATTCATTCTATGCTAAAAATTTATACAAATTGTTTAATGTTTTTATTAATTATTCATTAATTAAATGCCCATAAAATTCGTAACGTCGTGTCCTTTGTTTACTATTTGTTATATTACAGCAACCTTGAATAGTTTTTTGCATTAATGATAATGGATAATTTTAAGAATGAGGATAGATACTCGATACAATGAGGAAGTTGGGACTTATATATTAGTTTAAAAAAAGTTCAAACAGGAAATTAGGTTATAAACTTTATGATCTTAATAATACTGGCATAGAAAGTAGGAAAATTGCATATTGAGAGGCATTTTTTTTTTATCGTGAAGAGTGTTTAAAAATTAGTGTTTAAAAGATGCATTAGGTTAGATCTATAGGTAAATAAATTCCTTAAAAAAATTAAAATTAAATGACATTTATTATCATAAAAAATTACAGCTTAATTATAGAGATAATCATCGTTAAAACTGTGTTATTAATTACTGAAATAATTCCTTTTAATTATATTTAACTTTCTAAAGTAAAAGAATGGAAATAAGCGAATAAAATTCTAAAAAAATTAAACTTAAAATAAATATTTATAACACCAATTTATGGCTTAAATTAATTATAAAAATTTGTGGTTTATAATTTAAAAAATTCTATTTAATAACCGATTTAATTCCGTAAATAATGATTAATTTTTTATAAAGTAATTGAAAAATAAAGAAAGTTAAATTTTTTTTTTAATATATTTAATCCAAGTTTTATGTTTAAAAAGTAAATAGTTTTATTTACCGTTAAATCTAAAGGATTAAATGAAAATAAAGATTATCAATAGCTCTTAAGAGATTTATTCAAGGATTTTCTAGCAGAAAAAAGTTCCTTATTAAGGCAATAATGCTTTTATATAATGCAATTTAAATCGTTTAAGATTGAATCCCATTGAAAAAATCAATGTTTAACTTAAATCATTATTGTTATTTTAATATTTAAAATGTCAGAGTTATGTTTAAAGTTGAAAATAAATGTTGAATTAAGCTTAAAAATTCATTCCAAAATTTAAACCAATTAAATTTATTGTTGCATATCAGTTTCAAGAAATGAACAATTAAAAATATTATTATATTAACTAATAAATTTCAAAGTTTTAACGAATTAAAATTATTCTTATATTTAAAAAAAGATTAATTTCAGGAATATAACAATTAGAAATACAGTATTGTTATATTTAAATAATCAATTTAAAAAAGCTGGCAACAATTGTTCAGCTTGAGATGGATGGGGATGGGGGCCATATCTCCCGAACCAGTGGTCCGATTTTCCTGAAAATTTCAGGAAACATTTCTTCCTAATACACAAACCTCCCTGCAAAATTTCAGAAATTTTTGTCAAAAGGCACAGGAGTTATTAAGCTACAAAGTGGATGAAAGAAATCATGGCTACCCCTCACACACCAATATCTATACATACAGGAAAAAAAAAAAACTAAATTTCTTTTTGCATTTCTCGATATTTCAAGGTTCCTTGAGTCTAAAAATGTACGAAAATTTTTTGGGAGAGGTAAAAATGATCCCCAGATTGCCATTTTCTCTCTGTACGTTTATAGTACAAAAAACAATCAAAATTATTGTTGTATAAAATATATCAATTAGAAAATTGAATTAATTACAACAATGTTGTATAAAACAATCAATTTCAATATTTTTAAACAAACAATTTAATGTTACATAAAAGTTGACGCTTCCTGGATGTATAACAATTAAAACATTGTTACGTCAAATTAATGATTTTAAAATTTAAACGATTAAAATAACGTCAAATGAATCAATAATTTTAATATTTTAAATCATAAAAATTTATTGTTACGTAATAAAAATGATCAATTTCAGGAAGTAACACAATTAAAAACATTGTTACGATTAAATATTAATTTTATAATTTAAATAGCTTAGTGAAAAGCATACAGTCGACCCTCCCTATAACACTGTTGATTTTTCCGTTTTATATGAATTCCATGTTGTACGAGTCACTTAGATTTTACAAATACGTGTGCCAGGCTGTGAACAGCTCGCGTATTCGTAAAATCTAATTTTTTTACACCAATCATAACCTGTGTTTTAATTATTTGATCCTCATATTTTCATCATGCATTTAATTATTTGATCATCATATTTTCATTTGTTACATCAAAATTTCGATGTTTTGATCTGTACCTTTGCAGCAGAAACGATCCAGTTTTATCAAAAGTGATGTTTTGGACATTACTTAGGGGCCGTCCATAAATTACGTAAGGTATTTTGGGGTGGGAGGGGGTCAATGATTTCTTACTATTTCTTACTCAGGGGTAGGGGGTAATAAATCCAGTCTTACGTAATATTCTTAAATTTATTTTTTTTTATTTTGTTGAATCTGGAGTTTTGAATTTGGCTTTAATTGGGTGGTTTCTGTTAAGAACGCTCGTTGTACTAACGCCATCTCGTGTGACGTGATAATATATTAGACGTAGAAATGCAAAAAATAAACTTAGATGATGTTTACCAAAGATTTTTCAAGTCATATAAAAAAGCACATGCCAACAAGAAAAGTGATAACGTACAAAAAGATGCAAATCTTGTATGGACCGAAGCAAAAGCTCGATACGGCACTGATACAAACGGATTCAGTACTTTTATACAACAACGTATAAACCATTACGACACTCAAGATAAAAAAAGAAAAGTTGGCTTATTGTCATATTTTAGTAAGGTATGTTGTATATTAAGTTGCTTTTTATACTTTTTTGCTTTCTAATCAATAAAGTGTTATGAACTTGATATATATATAATTATTCTTTTTATGAAACAGAATAATTATAACCTAGTCAATCAAAAGAAAGAGTCTGAAATCGTTACAAAAATGATAACTAATTTGGCTCCTAACCATGATAATACTCCTCTTCCTATTGCAAAAAGCATCGATGTTGAGTGCACTGTTGGAAATAGTATATCTTCACCAAAAGCTTATAAAAAAACACACAAAGTTCCAGCTCAAGATGAGGCCGCTGAAAAAATTANTTTTAATGTATAAAATTTCATATTTTTAAAATATTAAAAGGAAAATTCCATTAAAAATATGGAAGAAGTGTTGTTTTTAAAGCTGGTTTAAGCCGTAAAAAACTTAATTTAAACATAAAAAATTATTATTATTAATTTAATTAAAAAAATAAATACTGTATAATATTTATTTATTTTTATAAGAATTAATTTATTTTAAAATATTTATATGAGAAATTTGATTTAATATTGAGTTATTTTTATGGATATGCTCAGAGACCTCAGAGGACTCCAGAATATCAAAAAAAACTTTAAGAATTGTTTTAAAATGATAATATTTGATAAAAATTGAAGGACTTTACCCTGGCCCTCCTTATATTATAGGATTAAGATATACTTAAATTTAGGACCTATCAATACATGGAGGGCTTAGATATGTTTATATTTAATAAGAACTTTTACCATACTTTTAAATTACTTAAATACTTATGTTACATTGAAGTATAACATTGATTAAAATTATCGTTTTATCTCTTATTTACTCAAAATTTCTTCTTAAAGATAAAGATTTTCCGCTTGGAGTGAGGTGTATAAAATTAAATTATAGATTTTATTGACTGATTTTTTCACTAATTTTTTTATTTTTTTTATTTTTTAATATTAATTTTCGAATGGAATGTAATTCTGTACGAAATATTCTATGAAATTATCAAGGTTTTTTAGTCTGGTGATGATAAAAGGTTTTTGATCTTGGCTGCTTTTCTTGGGATGAAGCCAAGATCAAGGACAAAATTGGGTAACCAAACAAGAGAACTAACGAGTTTTTATTTAAAATATTATAATCTACGATGGAATTTTTCTTTGTAATACATATTATTTGTTACTTTTCTTGAAGTAAATTACGTTTTCTTTATAATTCATCAATACTACCCAATAGAAATGAAGTTAAAGATAGCTTCGAAAGTAAACAACGTGTTTAAATATTACCTTTTTAACATAATAAATCTAAATTATAACATCTGCCGACCTTACAGAGTTAAAAAATCTATCTAAAATAAGATTAATTTTATTAAATCGAAGCTAATTTATGCTTCGATTAAAAAAAAATACAATACTAGCATATTAAATCCGCAATTTCAAGCTTCTAATTCACTTAAAAAAGCGGCGACATTAATGTTTCCAAGCTATGCAACGGTATATATATAAAAAAGATAACCATCCCTTCAGGGTCTAACCACTAAAGAGGGTCTTCGAGAAGCCAAAAAAAAGGCATAAAAACAGAGAATGTGCCAATGTGACTGTATTATTTTGTATATTAAATTATCAAGAATTAATTTAACAATTTAAAAAAAAAGTTACTGTATCAACGAAACATCTGCCACGTTAAAAATATTAATAGGGTTATGCTTATGCGAATATAACTGATACTTATTAAACGAAAACATGTGACTTTCTCGGCGCCACCTGTCAATCGTTGCGGCGCGATGACGTCACGACATGGCGGACTTTGTGTTGTGAAGAGGTAACGAAAACATCCGAATCTACGAACGACGATTCGCATAGATGAAACGATACGTAAATACTTAAAAAAACGACGTACTTAGTATATTTAGTGTAAATATTCGAAAGAGGAAGACATTGAAGCCATTCCATTGTTATATCTAGCAAGGTAAGTGTTTATTACGAGTCACGCCCATGAAATTCACGTTTTCATAAAAATACTCAATTTCAATAGTCACGTGCTCGTACGTAATTAAAGAAAATTATCAATTACACGCGATTAATCGAATGGCAATTTAATATATAACGTTTAAACAGTAATCAAATGATGGATTACAAAACATGTTTTCATGTTCACTCATCTTCTATACTCATATGTAAGCTGTGTGTTAACTTCAGTATCATATTCAAATTGTTTTGCATAAATAAATACCTTTTTAAATATATATTACCATATAAAAAGCTGGTGTGATAACATTCTTGAATATCAAATCACTTTTTGAGTGTTCTCCTTTTGATATGGATATGTGTCGTGCTAGTTTGATACCTGTGTTTTGGATTATGAAGCCTTATTGACTGTAAAATGACATTTGAGTGCTCTCTTTGAATTCTTTCCATTCATATTAATGTGGATTTTTAATTTTTTTATGAATCCTTACTATTAGAAAATTTAATGCTAGATAATTATCGAGGTATAAAAAGTATGTATGTCATAATTTTACTCATTTTAAACTCCATTTTTTGTGTGTTAAATCGTCATCCGGGTTTGCGCTGTGAAACGATGAATTAACATTTTAATAGTTAACATTTGAACATAAACTGATAATGTTAAATGAGGTAAATGAGAAATTTTGCTATATAAACCGACAGTAGGTGCTTTTGAAAGGTGCTTTTAATTTGATAATCGAGTATTTTTTAATATTAAAGTGGTTTTAAACTCTCTCTACTATAAACATTGAGAAATAAAAAACTGATTGTACTGATGAGTGATGGTTTAAGTTAATTTTTTTAATTAAAAATATAAATTAGCTCATCCAAATATGATTAGGTNCCTGCCTCTTCTCTGTAGCCTTATGAAACTGTCATGCTTCTTCATATTTAATTTGTTGCTTATCCTGAACCTTTTGGATCATTTCTGCTCAGTTCCATTCTGTCATTATGGAATCTGGGTCTGCTATGGTATAGGTCACTAAGGCTGTAACTTGCTACTCCTTTTGGATGTTACTTTTATGCTCTATGATATTCTGTTTTAGTGATCTTGTAGTGGCTCCTATGTAGAAATAAGTCAATTAAATTTTGTAAGTGTTTTATTAAACTGTTTTTTGTTTAAAACAAATTTAAATAATTGAAATATAATGCTTTATATAGCCAAAATATTTTTAAACTCGTTAATAAGGAAAGATTGTGTCACAGGCACTTACAAGTAAAAGTTCAAGTGTTTCTGAATCATTGTTTTTAATCATGATTTACAATTTATGTAGGTGTGAGAAATTGAAACTCAAGTGACTGAACAGAATTTAAATTTATAAGTGTAACTACCGATTATAAAATTAAAATGGTTATAATGTATTCACAAGTTTTAACTGATTTTTATATTGAACTTTAAATAATTTAAAACCTAAATATCTGTATTTTCTTAGAAATGTAAATACATTGAGTAAATATAAAAGCCATATAAATGTTACAGTTGTATATCATAATTTTGAAATTACAGTTTAATGTTTGGATTTTAAGTAAAATTTTTAGAATTATTATTTTAATTAAATCAATTAAAATATTTTCAATATTTAAAATGAGTTATCCTTATTTGGTTATTGATTTGTGACTTTACAGCAAATGGGCATCATGCCCATTCGTTGTAAATTCAGATATTAATGTTAGAATGACATGCATTTAATATAGAGGAACTTAACCTTGTGATTGCAACAAGTGTGTGTTTTGTTTAAATGTATTATAACAGAAATTGGAATGGCATTATCTAATCCATTACATGGAAATCGAAAACCAAGTAATTATTCTATTTTCGTAATTTTTACAAATTGTTTAAATGTATTATAAANTTAAATTATTAATTGCTTCTTACAACAGTTTTATTTCTTAAAATTGAATTTGCTTGTTTATATTTGTTAATGCATTTTAACTGAATTGATTTAAAAAAATAAATGATTTTTTTATAGGATTTTTAATTGTTTTTCAGTATGTATTTTTTATAATAATTCAAAATTATTAAAAAAAATTGCTATGAAAAACATTAAAATCTTAATAGAAATCATTTCACTATGTCTAATACATTTTTATCAACATAATAGAATAGAAATATTAAATGTGGCAATAATTTAAATAATAATGTTGATGAATATACGAATGATGACACAAGTAATATAATTATATATAAAAAAGTAGAAATATTAGTTAATTTATTACCTATTCTTATTCTTCAAAGAACCCTTAATTATATTAATTAGCATTTAGTCTGCATTCTTAATGGAGACTTATTCGTGGAAACAATGTAATTAATTCACCTTGTTGCTGATTTTCATGTATAATAAGCATGAAATATAAATAATTTATATGCAATCAATGATTTTCTAAGTATCAATAATTTTAAGAATTGATTTTTTAATCACTATATAAATTAGTTTAGTTTATTTTGTATTGCATAAAGTAATAAATAAAATTAACAAGTGTTTTTATATATTACTCTATATTTCAATTAAGATCTTATTTTTCTTTCTTTTTTCTGTAATCTTTACAAGAAGCTCAATACAACAGTTCTAACATACAGAGATTTTCAATGATGATGATTTTAGATATTTGATAATTTCATTTAGTTTATTGTTGGAAACAATAAACGAATAAAGTCATCAGCATTGAAAACCTTTTGTATGTTAGAAGTGTTGTATTGAAATTCTTAAATTTCTTGTAAGGATTACAGAAAAAAGAAAGAATTACAACATTCCGTAGCCACATAACATTTTATTATTTATGAAATAGCTATTTCTTTTTTTAAGTTGATCACTTGATTTTATAGACTAAATTTTATCACTTTTTTATTTGTAGTTTTTCTCTGAAATTATTCAGAGAATTTGAATTTTTTCGTTTATTTAGATTAGATAAATCTTACGGAAATGATAAAAATAATTTGTGCAATGACTATATGTATTATTATATAAACCATTTATTATACCAGTTAAAGGTAGTAGCCATGATTAATGTTATAAATGCTAAAAATACTTGTAAAATTGATTACGTTCATATTCTAATGTCTTCCTGTATTATTATTGTGTGTTAAGATGTGTGTTAGTAATATCCTTTAATATTTTAAATACTATATGCTTCAGTCAATTTGCAATTTAATGAAGAAATCAATCCATTTGTCATGATTAAAATACCGATTTGTAATAACTGTTCAGAAAAGTTGTCATGAAATAGAACTGCATAATATTGTATATAATTTCAATAATTTCTATGATGTTATTATAATACAATGCTGAATGAGTTGAAATATAAAATGTGATGCAATAGTAACTAGATTTTGTAAAATCTAGTAATAGTCAGAGAAAATCATCTACAGACCCCTCATTTTTTACTGGTTGTGGTGTAAACAAAATCAGCAAAAAATAAATCCATGTTTTATTATGATATAAATAGGTAAGCAGGAGTTGTGGGTTCGAGTCCTGCTCCGGGCCGATTTTTTTCTCTCAGTGGTTCTAAATTATTTAAATTAATTAATTTATTTANGAATAAATTTTCTTTATAAATTTATACAATTAATTTTATAGAAAATATTTGATATTATATGTCCTTAGTAAAAATATCAATTGATATCACTTGAAATAGCACAATTGGAATTATTTAAATTGAAATCATATCAATGGATATTAAATTATATCAATCATTATCATTTGAAGTATCTACTGATATCATTTAATACAAATTGTTTTGAATGAATATTTTGCACTATGAGATGATGAATTAACACTTTAATAGATAAAATTTGAACATAAACTGATAATGTTAAATGAAGTAAATGAGAAATTTTTAATTTTGCTATATAACCAAATAGTTTTTCCTGAAGAATTGTGCATTGTGTTTTATAATCAGTCAATTTGTGAAAATAGTTTTGTGCACAAAGGATCAAACTTTACTCACATAAAGAAAAATTTCAAAACATTTTATAATTTTAGCAAAATTTATTGTTAAAATTGAAGAAAATGTCATATTAATATGGATGAAATAAAATACATAGGCTAATTCATATGTCAAATAATAATGAAAAAGATTAATTATCTTAGTTTATAAACTATATCAATTTTGTATAAAATACTAATTTTCAAACTTGTATTCTATATGATACAGATATCTTTTTAATAATATTGTGCCAAACTTGTTTCATATATTTTGGCATTATCTGTACAATGGAATCTGTTGGATTAATAATTTATAATGAACCATTTTCAGTTGACCCCCATTTAATCACTGAAATGCATTATCAACTTCTGGAGGTCAATATTGACCAGTCTGGATACCCCCTGCTTCAGACAATTAAGTTACTTTTTGTACTCATTAAAACATATATTTGCTTTTTTCCTGAGAGAGAGTTTTGTGAATTTCTTTAGAATTTGTTTTTTCATTCACAGAAAAAAGTATAATAAAAAATAGAAAGTTAAAAACCATTAAAATTTAATATTATAATGTTATACATGTTAAATTATTCTAATTGACACTAAATTATTTCAGTTGGTTCTAATTGATATGTATAGATGCTAAATGATATAAAGCGAATCAAAACATATGAAATATTACTAAAATCTGTAACATTTAAAATTAAATACTTTGAATAGATCTATAAATGAAATGATTTTAGATGTTCTACTGACAAGTCTGCTAATTATCTCATGTTTATTCTTACCATTTCACATCATTTGAATATGTTAAATGATGTCAAGTGATATTTTTATTATTAGAATTTGGAGTAAGTTATAGTGTGTTTATATATATAAATAAACTACAGGAAGGTTGTTAGTATTAAAAGTTGTATGGTTTGTTTGTTATTGTATTTATGCTCTTATGCAATGTTATGTGTTATACAAACAGTTACTGGAAATTAAAATGATCTTGATTACTTGGCACCATAGTAAATACATTAAACAAAATTTAGGAAACAAA